AAAAATGATTAATTGTAGGTGAAGTCATATATACCATACCCCATTGAGTAGTTTTTAGAATGGCCTACTTAAAGTTATTTCTCGTATAAATGCCTAAAGATTATGAGTGTGCAACTTAAACTTTATCTTGAGCCTATATGACCTTAAGAGAAATTGGATGAGAAGACATATCTCCTTTTTTATAAAATTTTGCTATCAATTTCGATGTAGAAACTACCACCCAGCATTCTTAGACACTTTTCTGAGTATGACTTTCGTGCTTAAAGCCAAAACATGGGGAACACTTTCCCCATTTCTTAGGACACTGAGAAAATGGTGGAGGACATCTACTGTTTTTAAAATTAAGTCATTTACTTTTATTTTATTCCTACTTATTTACCTGTAAAATAAGGCTGTCCCATTTTGACATTTATTGAAAATTTTAGGTCAGTTTTAAGCTAAGATATTGGTAAATATCAAAAGTTCCAGAATCATGTGCCTGTGAGTTCTTTTATTTATTTTTTTATGGTTCAAAATATTACAGATGTCCCTTTTTTTCCCCATTTACCAATTCCACCCTGCCCCACCCCCCTCCCCAGTCCCTTACTACACCACTGTCTGTGTCCTTTGGTTATGCATATATGCATATAAGTTCTTTGGTTAATCTCTCCCCCTCCACCCACCTGCCCCCCTCCTTCACTCTGAGATTTGTCAGTCTGAAACATGCTTCCATGTCATTGAATCTATTCTGTCCATCAGTTTATTAAGTTCTCTAGATTCCACATATAAGTGAGATCATGTGATATTTGTCTTTCTCTGCCTGGCTTATTTCACTTAGACTAATATTCTCCAGGTCCTTCCATACTGTCCCAAAGGGTACGAGACCCTTCTTCTTTACAGCTGCATAAATGTCCCACAGTTTTTTATCCACTCATCTACTGATGGACACTTGAACTGTTTCCAGATCTTAGCTATTGTAAATTGCACTGCTATAAACATAGGGGTACATATATTCCTTCTGAATAGTGTTCCAGGATTCTTAGGATATATTCTTAGAAGTGGGATCACTAGGTCAAAAGACAGTTCCATTTTTAGTTTTTTGAGGAACTTCCATACTGCTCTCCATAGTGGCTGCACTAGTCTGTATTCCCACCAGCAGTGTACCACAGTTCCCCTTTCTCCACATCCTTGCCAGCACATGTCATTTCTTGATTTGTTGATGATAGCCATTCTGACAGGTGTAAAGTGATACCTCATTGTGGATTTAATCTGCATCTCTCTGATGATTAGTGATGTTGAGCATTTTTTATATGCCTCTTAGCCATCTGTATGTCCTCTTTGGAGAAGTGTCTATTCAAGTCATTTGCCCATTTTTAAATTGGATTGTTTGTCTTCCTCTGTTGAATTGTCTGAGTTCTTTGTAGACTTTTGAAATCAGCTTCTTATCAGATGTGTCCTTGACAAATACATTCTCCCATTCCATGGGGTTCATTTGTATTTTGAGGCTGATTTCTTTTGCTATGCAGAAGCTTTTGTTTGATGTAGTCTCATTTGTTTATTTTTTCTTTTGTTTCTCTTGCCCTAGGAGATGTATCAGTGGAAATTCCACAATGTGAGATGTCTGAGACTTTAATGCCTGTGTTTTCTTCCTGGATTTGTATGGTTTCACTACTTACATTTAAGTCTTTTATCCATTTTGAGTTTATTTTTATGTATGGTATAATTTGGTGATTTAGTTTCATTTTTTTGCATGTAGCTTTCCAATTTTCTCAGCACCATTTATTGAAGAGATTGTCTTTACTCCATTTTATGCTCTTGCCTCCTTTGTCAAATATTAACTGACCATAATTGCATGGGTCTATTTCTGGAATCTCTGTTCTGTTCCATTGAACAGTATGTCTGTTGTTGTACCAATACCAGGCTGTTTTGATTACAGTGGCTTTGTAGTACAGTTTAATATCTGGTAAAGTGATCCCTCCCACTGTATTCTTCTTTCTCAAGATGGCTGCTGCTATTTGGGTGGTTTTTTTTTTTTTTGGTTCCATATAAATTTTTGGATTATTTCTTTTAGCTCTGTGACATATACTATTGGTACTTTAATAGGAATTGCATTGAATCTATAAATTGCTTAGGGTAGTATGAACATTTTAATGATATTAATTCTTCCAGTCCATGAACATGGTATATTCTTCCACTTGTTTATATCTTCTTCTATTTCTATTTTCAGTATCCTGTAGTTTTCTGAGTACAGGTCTTTTATATCCTGGGTTAAGTTTATTCCTAAATGTCTTGTTTTTTTCGTTGCAATGGTAAATGGTATTTTTTTTTTTTTTTTTTTTTTTTTTTTTTNTAGGTATCTTAGTTTTTTAGTTGCAATAGTAAATAGGTTTTTTTTTTTTAGTTTCCCTTTCTGAGAGTTCTTTGTTGGTGTATAAAAATGCCATTGATTTCCAGATGTTGATTTTGTATCCAGCTCCCCTGCCTAATTCATTTATCAAATCTAGTTGCCCTTAGAGTCTTTAGGGTTTTCTATGTAGAATATCATATCATCTGCAAATAATGACAGTTTCACTTCTTCCTTTCCAATTTGGATGCCTTTTATGTTTTCTCCCTGTCTCACGGCTATGGCAAAAACTTCCAATACTATGTTGATTAAGAATGTTGAAAGTGGACATCCCTGTCTTTTTTCTGTTTTTAAAGGAAATGGATTTTAGTTTTTGACCATTGAGTATGATGCTGGCTGTAGGTTGATCGTATATGGCCTTTATTATGTTGAGGTATGTTCTCTCTATTCCCACTTTGCTAAATTTTTTACCAAAAATGGGTGGTGGATTTTGTCGAATGCTTTTTCTGCATCTATTGATATGATCACATGATTTTTTACTTTCATTTTGTTTACGTGATGTATCACATTTATTGATTTGTGAATATTATACCAGTCTTGCAACCTAGGAATAAATCCCACTTGGTCATGCTGTATGATATTTTTAATGTATTGCTGGATCTGTTTTGCTAGTATTTTCTTGAGGATTTTAGCATCTATGTTCATTACAGATATTGGCCTGTAATTTTCTTTCTTTGTAGTATCTTTATCTGGTTTTGGGATTAGGATGGTGCAGGTCTCATAAAAAGTCCTTGGGAGTTTTCTCTCCTATTAAATTTTCTGGAATAGTCTGAGGAGAATAGGTGTTAACTCTTCTTTGAATGTTTGGTAAAACTCACCTATAAATCCTTCTGGTCCAGGACTTTTATTTGCTGGGAGTTTTTTTTATTACTGCTTCAATTTCATTTGTTGTTATCAGCCTATTCACGTTTTCTGCCTCTTCCTGATTCAGCTTTGGAAATTTGTATGCTTCTAAGAATTTGTCCATTTCACCGAGGTTGTCCAGTTTGTTGACATATAGTTGCTCATAGTATTTTCTTATAATCCTTTGTATTTCAGTTGGGTCTGTTGTTATATCACCTGTTTCATTTCTCATTTTATTTATTTGGGTCCTCTCTCTCTGTTTCTTGGTGAGCCTGGCTAAAGGTGCGTCAATCTTATTTATCTTTTCAAAGAATCAGCTCTTGGTTTCATTGATTTTTTTGCATTTTTTTAGTCTCTAGGTCATTAATTTCTGCTCTGATCTTTATTAATTCCTCCATTCTACATGCTCAGGGCTTTTCTTTCTGTTCTCATTCTAGTTGTTTTAATTGTTGTGTTAGGTGGTTTAGCAGAGCTTTTTCTTTTTTCTTGAGATAGGCCTGTACTGCTATGAACTTTCCTCTCAGGACTGCTTTTGCTGTGTCCCATAGATTTTGGTTTGTTGCCTGTTCATTTTCATTTTTTCCAGGGAGTGTTTGATTTCTTCCTTAATCTCTTTGGTAACTCATTCATTTTTTAATAACATGCTATTTAGCTTCCATGTGTTCGAATATTTTTTAGTTTTTTTGTAGTTGTTGATTTCTAGTTTCATGGCATTTTGATCCAAAAGATGCTTAATACGATTTCAATCTTCTTGAATTTGTAGAGACTTGCCTTGTGCCCCAACATGTGGTTTATTTTTGAAAATATTTCATGTGCACTTGAGAAGAATGTGTATGCAGCTGCTTTGAGATGAAATGTTCTGTAAATTTCAATTAAATCCATTAGCTCTAGTGTGTCATTGAAGGTCTTTGTTTCCCTGTTGATTATTTGTCTTGATCAGTCAAGTGACTACAGTGGGGTGTTAAAGCCCCTGACTATGATTGTTTTGCTGTCAATCTCCCTCTTAAAGTCCCCTGAGAATTTTTAAATATATTTAGGTGCTCCTATATTGGGTGCATATATATTTATAAGGGTTATTTCCTCCTGTTGGATTGATCCCTTTATTATTATGTAGTGACCATCTTTGTCTCTTGTTATGGTCTTTATTTTGAAGTCTATTTTGTCAGAACTAAGTATTGCTACTCCAGTTTTTGTTTTTGTTTTCATTTCCATTTGCATGAATATTTTTTCTACCAATGAGTTTTTGATAGCTATAAAAATTGATCCTTGGTAATAAGTTTAATATCAGAAAATCTGCAATTTTGACATATCAAGCCTAAGGAAATTTTGCCTCCAAACCTGGAGATTTTATACCTTATAGGGATTATATTCCAATAAAGAATAATTTGCTAGTATTTCTAGAAGCAAAATGTAAAAATAAGTATAGCTCTGTAGTAAACAAGCTGTGTAAAACAAGGTTTATTTTAACTATAACATGCCAATCATTTTCTGTTTGATGAGTTATTTTTTTAAAAAGAAGCTCTCTATATCTGAAAAGTATAACATCTGAGATAAATGTTCATGTCTCATTTTCTATGTCCTAAGTTCAAAATGACACCTGCTTGACCAAAGAATTTAGGATCATGGCCCCCTTTTGAAATACCAAATAGCAATAACCTATTAAAGACAATGACATTTTTTTCCTTTGCACAGATTTGTGTTGTGAGTGTCAAAGTTAAACTTCATTACATTTTTTATTATTCTTACTCATATTTCATTATTTTCTCTCCAGCAGTTTCCAGAATTCAACATGTAAGACACCTGAGTGATGAAAAAATTGTGAGATGGAAAGAGGTAGCTCCAACTCTCAGTAACAAGCAAGACTCACAACAAAAGTTAAAGAAAAAGCACAGCCACCTTTCTCCAGACCCAAACACATTAGTGGATAGCAGGCATCAAAGAAATGCTAGCCACAAAATTTCTGTCTGTAAGAATCATTACAAAAAATATAAATCCCTACAGAGTCTTCAGAGTTCTGGGTCTCAAATTAATCTCCTAAATCCTGAGAATTACACCACTGAAGTTTCAACATCCGACTGCCACCCTACCTCCATGAGCCCTTGGTCTGCTGTACGCCCCAAGACTCACAGATATTCCTCAGACACTAGAGCTACAATGTGTTCCAAATGTTTCAAGGAAATCAATAATTCTCATTTTCATAAATGTCTTGTGGATTCTGATAGTGATTCAGACCCTGACTGCCCTTCACTTCTCCAAATTCCCATGGGTTCTAAATATTGTTTGAGCCCCAAATCTATTAGACACCGTAAGACTTCTCGGAACAGCCCTTTATCTAGATCCTTGGATCCTAAGCATCCAGTGGGGATTCGCTGTCCTCTACACCGAAGGGACTCTAAATATTCCTTGGGTTCAACTTCGTATTTACATTGTGAAAGTTGCTCAGCTCTCCAAAATCTCATAGGCTCTACTGTTACCTGTACCTTTCCCATGAATCCTCAAAATACCGTGTGTCACCATAGTACCCCTGGCCCAGACAATATCAGCAATGTTGTTGTCCTTGAAAGTGAAGACCAATTTAACCTTACTAAACAACTTGAAAACAAGGCCAATCCTGATAATGAGACTAAACTGGTCAGTGCTGACAATCTCAAAAGTGAAGCCAGTGCCAAAGACAAGCCTAGTCTCAAAGATGAGAGAGACCATGAAGATGAGACAGACTCTGAAGACGAGACAGACTCTGAAGATGAGGAAGATCCTGACGATGAAAAAAACACCAAAGATAAGAAGGATCCCAAAGATAAGTCCGACCCTGATAATACTGATCCCAAAGATAGCAATGCTGAAAATGATGCAGACACAAACAATGGATCTGATTCCAGTGGTGATGCTGACCCTACAAGTGGAGCTGATCACAACAGTGATGGTGACTCTAATAATGGAAGTGACTCCAACACTAGATCTGACTCTACCATTGATAAAGGCACTAACAATGATGCTAACTCCAAATATAGCACTGATTCTGAGAACAAATACACCAACAATTCAGACAATGTCTGTGGCCTAAACAATGATGTTTATCAGGACTGTACTGCTGGCTTCAACAATGGCACTAATCCAAACCACACTTCTGTGCTGGAAAATGGAATTGGCGTGCACTATATTTCTAGTTACAACAATGATACCGGCCTCAGTAATGCCACTATGTCAGGCAATGGCATTTGCTCCAACAATGGTACTGGCACCACCAATGAAGCTGGCCCCAACAACAATAGGCCTGGCCCTAACTTAAATGGATCTGGCCTCCAAAACAATGGCCTTAACCCCAACAACAGCCCTGTCCTCAACAATAATATCCCTGTCCTTAAAAAAGACCCAGATTCTAATAATAATGCCAGACCTAGTCATGCTACTAGTCACAATATTGCTTTTAGTTCTAACAAGAATGCTGATTCCAACTATGATACAAAACCAACCAGTATTACTGGCCACAACTATTTAGCTGTCCCAAACTATTACTCATACCTTGACTACATTCCAAGATTTGCCCATGCACTAGATTCTAGCTTTGTTGTCAATCCCAACTATATTGCCAAAACCAGCTATGCTGCCAGGACCAGCTCTACCACTAGCAATGTCAATATCACTGACACCAGCAACACCACTAGTTGTGGTGGTTCTGTTACTCCTAGCTATATTGCGTGCACAAGCTTTGCTTCAGACGCTAACCATGAGACTAGATTCACTCATGTCATTGGCTCCAACTTTGTCGTCAACCCTAATTATAATGCCATAAATACTGTTAATGTTCATAATTGCACTAGTACCAGCAAAATTAATAATCTCTCCGAGCCTAAATTGGAAATTGGTTCCAGTTCTTTTATTCCTAATATTGTTTATGGTAGCACCCCCACTTTTGCTGCTAGCACTAACCATACTTCCACTTCTGAAAATTTGACCACCTCGACATTTTCTGATTCATATAAGTTTGGTGGAAATTATACAATTATTGATTACCACAAATTTGATGTCTGCTCCAAAGGCAATGATAGCTCTGTGGATTTCACTATCTTTATGCATACCACTGAGTCCAAAGATGTTCTCGATGCCAATGAATCTGGCCTTTTAAAAGATTTCTCTAACATCAAGGATCCTGCCAGTTTAAACTTTCACTCCAAATCAAACATTCTGCTCCTGAGTTTCGATATTATAGTAGAAGCTGAACAACCAGATGTTGTGAAGTGTGCAATATCGTCAGGTGCTGTGAATCAATTTTTTAAGGTAAGTTTATAAACATGTAGATTTTAAATTTATTGTACATTTCCTGTAATTCAGAATGTTAGCTAAATCAAACAGGATAAAAAATTTTAGTTACTTGGATATGCTAGCCATGGAAGAGAGTAGACAAAGTATTTAGTATTACATATCCCTTGACCCTTGTAAGCAGCAACATGATTTTTCACTTAAAAGATCATCTACTATACAACTGACAAATAGCACAATGACCTTCTTTGCACTGTGGCTAGCTTATCGATTACTCTACCAAGGCTTGCATAGCTCATAAATGCAAGCCTAATCACAAACATCGTTTAACCTACCTCCTCTCACCTTTACATGACCTGGTGTTGGTTCTTTTGCTCTATCTACAGAGAATAAAGCTAAATGAACTGTAAATAACATGGATCAAGGTATTTTAAAGAAACTATCTCAAAAATCCCATTTTATGCAGGAGGCTTTTAGAAATAGCTATGATATTCGTCTAATCCCTCATCTAAATAACCAGAATTTGAATTATTTTGGTGATGTGCTATTAGGGAACAAAGGACCCCAAACCTTTGCTACTTTTGGCTTAAAATTTGATGTATCTTATTTCTCTGAAAATAAGTAAAATTACATTTTTAAACCTTTTTCATTGGTTTTAGAGAAGGAGGGAGGGAGGATTAACTTGCAACCTAGGTATGTGCCCTGACCAGGAATCCAACCTGCGACCTTTAGGTGCATGGGACAAAGCTCCAACCAACTGAACCACACACACCGGCCAGGGCAGTAAAATTACATTTTTAATGAGTTTTTATCAAATGTTTCTTCTAGCACTCTCAATTTCAAGCACAAAGATTGTTAGGTGTTTGAAAAACTATTTTTGACAGCAGCAAGTAATATTTTTTTTTAATGAAATTTTACTAAAATTTCTCCAGGCCTAATTAAATTGGTACAAATTGAATTTTAGTCTTGTTATACCTCATTAACAAGGCATGGTAAACAAATACATTTAATATGTATTGCAGTGCCTATGTGTATAAATGTGCAACTTGGCCCGACTGGCATGGCTAAGTGGTTGAGCATCGACCTATGATTCAGGAGATCAAGGTTCGATTTCCAGTCAGGGCACATGCCCGGATTGTGGGCTCGATCCCTGGTATGCAAGAGACAACCAATCAATGACTCTTTCATCATTGATATTTCTATCTCTCTCTCCCTCTCTCTCTCAATAAAGACATAATTAAAATAAATAAATATGCAACTTGAAATAATTTATTTTGTACTAGAATATGTAATTGAATGTAATTGTACATTTAAAATAAGGCATATATTCTTATAACCAAAATGAAAGTACAGAACTTGGTATCTCCTTAATGCTCTTCTTTAATAGAGAACAATTTTAATTACGTAGTATGTTTTTATAGCATACAGTTGGAATTATGTAGTATGGCTTTATAACATCTCCTTATGGAAACTTAAGGGTAATTAATGTTAGCAAATTATAAGTAATAAAAATAATATTGCTAACATACAAGCCTTAACATCAGAAAAAAATAGATATTTTCCAAGTTGTTTTCACAAATGACCTTTTACAATAGTATGGAATGTTTTATTTTATAAATTTGGTGTCTCTGGCTGAATGAAAATATGGTTATAAGTTTCAGCTTACTTGTCAAAGAATGTAGCTAACATTTTTCAGTTCAAATCATAGTATCTAATAGCTCTGTTTCATAAGTTGGGGTATATAAAACATATTATGTTGATTTTAGATGAAAACTACCTGCAAAGTAGGGCACTTTCCCTTCCATCAAAAAATCAAATTTTTCAAATGCACAGTATTTGATTCCTCAAAAACATAACAATAAAATGTCTCCTAATAGAATATCTAGTCATATAAATACTATGCCCTGGTGCATACACTCCAACCTTTTGACCATGACTAGATAATGGCAATATATGCAACCACTTTATTTTCATTGGAGAGGAACAGTCTTCACAATACATTCATTAATAGCTTACAAAACTAAGTATTTTGCATGCTTTCACTATTTTTTTAAAATTTACCTTTATTGTTGAAAATATTACAGGTGTCCCCCTTTTACTCCATTGACCCATTCCACCCCACACCCACTCCCTGCTCCAGGCCTTCACCACACTATTGTCTGTATCCATGGGTTATGCATATATGCACATAAATTCTCTCATTAATCTCTCTCCACCAACCCCGACCTTCCCTCTGAGATTTGTCAGTCTCTTCTATGCCTCTATGTCACTGAATTTATTTTGTTCATCAGTTTATTATATTCTTTAGATTCCACATATAAGTGAGATCATGTGATATTTGTCTTTCTCTTCCTGCTTTCACTACTATTTATTTTGTATGCCTTCACTAACAAAGCATTTTTTTCTGGAAGAATTATTGCCTTCCTTTAGAGTTTTGGTATTTCTGCATTTTCCTGGTTTATTACATCATTGTCCTTATTTTCATCACAGAACTATTTTGGGGATAACAGAGATGTTTTCCCAATTCAAACAATTTAGAAAGTGAGAAAAGCTCACTTTTAAAAAAGTAAAACTTTTCAACCAACCGTTAGTAAAACAAACCAACACATCAAAACATATAGTCAAGCCATTTGTACCATCTTCATTTATTCCTTCAATAGGTATTTAATAATTAAACAGTGTAGAAAGTTCAAAAATATACACCAGTTAAAAATATAGTGCCCTCTAAAGTGCTCACAGCATACTTATCTTAATAGGAAAACAAGTGGCTGTTTGGGGGTAAAAGTTGTATGAAGGCAAATAAAATGGTGCCACAGGGACTTTCCAGAATATTTAGAAAAATTTTGAATGTTAAGATCACAACATGTAACCAGTGTATTAAAATAGTTGGAAATACATGTGTGTGTATTATTGGTCTGTGTTGCACATTTCAGAAATAGCAAAACAAGGTTGTAACTCCTGAAATATAGAACTATGTTACTAAGAGCTTAGTGTCATTTAATAAGTTGTCTTAAAGTTATTTACAATTCTGCACAAAAAATATAATTCCATATAAAAGAGATAAAATTAATAGTAAGTATACCTTTCTTAAAGTTAAACTGTGAAAATAACTTTTATTTATAAATAAAGTTTACTCAATAATTTAATTAGTTTAAGTCCTTGACAGATTCCAAGGTACTTGAGAAGAATTGCATTAAGGCCATTTAAAATAAGTGAACATATCTGATTTATGGTAGATTTTAAAGGACAAGATGATTTACTTAGTAGAGACACTGAGGAAGAGTTTTCATATAGTACAGTCGTTATAAACAGACTTTTGTAAATATGGAGTTACATAGGCATTTCTAGGGACAGATGCATGAACATACTAATCAAATGTGTTATACTTTTTGCATCTGAGTTCTCTTAAAGTAGTACCTCTAGTAATAGTGTGGTGAAGGCCTGAGGAGGGAGAGTGGGTGTGGGGTGGAAGTGGTCAATGGGGGAAATGGGGACATCTGTAATATTTTGAACAATAAACAACATTAACCAACAAAAATACTTTTGTTTATAAGTATTTTGAATATTTAAGGAAGCCAACGAATAACTCTTGGTTCAAAAGAGACTAAATTTGCAGTATAATATCTTCAAAAGGAACATTGCCTGAAGTGGCCAAACATTTTCATATTTTCATTTCAAAATGATCCACCCAGTTTTTCATTGCTTTCCTGCTCGTGTTACCATGGGGATACATGGATATGTTTAAATCTTCTGCTTAATATTCATTGAAATAAATCTTAATTAAGTCCAACCTTTAAGATGGTAAATATATTACCTATATAATCCACATAATTGAAGCAATGCCTTGCCTAATATCTTCTTAGTTCAATATGTTTAAATACAAAGAAATAGTTTCCTCCATTGCTAGCTTTTTAGGAATGTGCTGTGTTTTGTTACAGTGGAAGATATGTTTTCTGGGGATTTTCAATCTAAGATACAACAAAACCATCTCCTATCCAAAGATACAAGCAACTTGCTCAAGGTCTGTTAACTGTTAAACTGCTGAGGCCATCTGTGTGCCAAACTTTTTCATAAAGTCAGTAATTTATATAACAATTTGATAGTATTCATAGTACTAAAAATATTTTCATGGTGTCCTCCTGCTGGATTCCTTGTTAGATAAAACAGTGTCCTGAAAATGTTCAGTTGACATAGAGTGAACTGAGTTGTAATCTCCTTTTGTAATGAATTTGTAAAAGATCTCAAATTGAATGTAACTAAATAAATAATATTGGACTAAACAACTTCCTCCTACTAACAATGTGATCTGCCCATTGTTCTCTCAATAATTTGGGAGAAAACAATCATTAAACTAATAAAAGTGAAGATGTCAGATTGAACCCAGTCTTTTCCCTTTATCTACACTATATTTATAGTTTTCTGAGCTACCACAAACCTACAATGACAAAGATGAGCAATCCGAAGGAGAAACAGTTGCCACAAATTCAAAGCAAAGAACATTTTGTTACTGCCCCTATTACAGAAAATCTGTGCCAAAGACCTTTCTTCTGTAGGAATTTTAGAATCATATATTTTCCCTGATAGCTCAAGGTTATTTTCCCCAGCTCTCTCAAATGTAGCAAAAGGATCAATGATGTATCCTCTAGGCAGATAGAGTAAAACAGGCTAAATCAACTTGAATCCAAATAGCGGTAGTCTAAATTAGGAGAACTTTAAGATTATCTGTCACTCAACATCATAAATCTTAAATAATTGACTAAAGAGGCATTTTATTCTCAAAAAGATTTCACCAGAATTTTAAATTCCAGAAATGTTTGCTTCAATGACAAAAATGTGGAATATGGTGCATTTGACAGCTGCAGGATCTGTGTGATCTGCCATGTTTTCCAAGTTTGAAAAAACTGAGGCAGCTGTGTCTCAATTTTAAGTCTGAGGTTGGATGTATTGGGAATCAAAGACAATGAAAGTGAAATGATTAAACAAACAAAGCATGAAATTTCAGTTTTGACTCTCATGAGTCATGCCAATCAATCTCCTTCTAAAGATATCTAGATTTATTAAGTAAAATGTTTATTGGATAGAGACTGTTAACCCAGTGTAATAGAGTTCTTTAATAAAATGAAGACTGGTAATAAGAAGGTAGCAGTAAGAAAGGAATACATTAGAGGTGAAAGCAAAAGAAATAATGTTATATGGAGAAAAAGGGATTATTGTGGAAAAATAGTTATGATTGCAATAATCTTTTTTTAAAAATTGAATAATTGAATCCCAATATAGTCTGGTTAGTGTAAGTTCATTTATATAAGAAGCATTTTCTTCTACATTATTCTTTGTACTTCCTGACCTGCCCCTATCTTATCACACACACACACACACACACACAGATAGATAACTTCCTCTGCTTTGGGGGTACTTTGGGGACCACAGCCACCACGGAGTTTTTATAGTGATTTTAATAAGAAAATTATTTTTATTAAAAACAATGTAATTATGAATGAATTTCTGGAACACAGCTTTTTTTTATAAGTTGAGAATAACCTATATTTTTTCATACTTGCTATCTTGATACTCACTGAATAAAAAGATAGCTAGTTAAGTGGTAATTGCAGTGAAAATAACAGAAGAAACTAGTACCAACACTATTTTATTCCATTTCATAAAAGCTATACAACCAATGGACACTGGTAACAGTCAAAAAAACATATGTCATCTAATCTGACTATAAGCAAAGTTTTGTCCTAGGCCCTAAAAATAGATAGTTGCAAAAGGCTCTGGACCAGAAAAAAAAAAAAAAAAGACTAAGATTGTTAATGTGAGAGTTTTAAGCAAAAGGTGAGAATTCAATTCTCAATATGAGGTGACATCAAAATTGGGGAGACATCAATGTTTAATTGGAAAATACATAAAATTCAAGGTAAATCTTCATGCAGCCATTTAATAACCAACATTTAGTAGCATTTACTATCTGACATGCATTCTTGGATGTTACATGTATTAGCTCATTTAATTGTCTCAGCAATCCTATGAAGTTACGCAATATCCCTATTTTACAAATGGGAAAACTGAGGTATTATGTAGTCAAGTAACCATTTTATGATCACACAGCTACCAAGTGAAAAAGAATGAGAACTATAATTTAAAATTTAGGGAAAATAGTATGTATTAAAAGTGTCATGTATGTAAACATTGTTTTAATCTAATATTAGCAGACATCTAGCTTACAAAATAAGCATTACTCTGGTTCCATTTCAGTAGTATTTGAAGAGACAGTATTATAGCTGCAATTGCAAGGTGATCATAGTAGTTTCTTGGGCATGGGTTTGAAGCTTTCAAATGTTATGATACCTAATATTTTTTTCTATTAAAAATCCATTTAAAGTAGTTTAAGTAAAAAATATTTTTTTCATTACCACTTTTGATTCCCAAGTTTCTTTTTATCATATTGTTGCAGCTCAACCTCCAGAGAGGTAGCAGACAAAACCTTGGCCATTGGTCAATGAAAAGAATACCTTGAGATGGAAAATACAAAGGCACAACCAAGAAGGTTTTGAGGATATGAGCAAATAACTTCGAAAATTTTCAGAGATCTCTGAGCAATGTTTATTATATGTTCATTGTCACCTCTTCTCCCCATTATGTGACCATGCCTTTATTATTTATTGGGACCTACAATGTTGGCCATGTGAAAATTGCCCCATTCATATTATTTGCTCTGGCAGAATCGGGAATTAAGAAAAGGACACACTGGTCCTTTCTAGAAACCATATAAAAATTATTCTTGTTGTTAATGACTCAAAAATTTAGTCAGATATTCCAACCACAAATTATCTTCATCTTTTGTGTAAATCTTTGTTTCCAGAAGATGGTCTTAATATTGAGAAATCTTATGACAGATGCTTTTAATATCATTATGGCCATTCTAGATTTAATATCACCCAAAATAAATTATTTTATTGTCAAAGTTGTTTATTATTTTTGTTCTTTTATGAGTGTGGTACACAAAATTAAAATAATTGAGACTCATCAGTACTGTGTAGTGTTTGCTTAACTTGATATTTATCTCATTCAACCTTGATAACCTAGGGAAACTGATAGCATATGTTCTTTACCAAGAAATTTTAGAGAAGAATGATCTGGATGTAATGTAGCTATCTCTGGAGCTCTTCCTTATGGCAAGAGAGCTAAAACAATGTAGTGAAATAACCAAAAAAACTACATTTAATTTATTTCCTTTTCAGTTAAAAGCAGGTGCTAGGCAGTCAGATGTACTTTAAAAAAAAACCTCTTTGTGATCCATAATTATAAGATATACTTTGAGTACTACAGGACACATAAGCAATCAAGCCATGCTGACCTATGAAACCTTTTTATAGGATCCCCACAATGTTTCACCATTCTCTCTATATGCATTAATTTTTAATACTTAATCCAATCCTCTGCTCCAGTTAGGTGAGTGTCCTCACTTTTTCTCTACATTGTCTTGTTTTTGTATACAGGCACTATATTCTACTTTTTGTAACTTCCCTTAACTCACGAGCAACATGACCATTAAAGCCTCACACTTCTATGAACAATATTGATTCTTCCATTCCCAAGTTTCTATTCTTAAGGTCAGGTGAGAAAAATCATAGCACATTTGGGAAACCACCCATAGGTTAGCATGCATATAGTAGTACATGGTATTACTGGGAACTGATGGGAAGTAAGATTGGAAAAGTAAGCAGAAACTTTGACATAGTAGGGAATTTAGACATCCTGCTATAGGTGATGGGTAACCTTTAAAGGATTACAAGCATGGTGGCAATGTGATATGATTCACACTTTAGAGAAATAACTCTGGGTGATGGTGTAGAGAATGGATTAAGGAAAAGGTATAGAGGAGGGGAAAACATAAGGACACCTGTTAGGACACAGCTGTGGTAATACAGATTCTAATTCTAAAGCACATACCTGTGGTAGTTCAGACTCTGATTCAAAAAAGATTGGTATTAATCAGTAAGTAGTAAGAATGGAGCAGAAAGGGCATATTTGAAAGCTATTAAGGCAAAAAATGCTGGAGCTACTAGATTATTCAGTGTAAGAGGAAAGAAAGAAAAGTTTATTATTTCTCCCAGATCTCTGATGTGGGGAGATGGTGGTGCCATTAATCAAATTGACAAATAAGAAGAGGAAGGTATGGGTAATATGTTTGTGAAAAATTAAAATGAGGACTCCTGAGTAACTTTTAGGTGATAATGTCTAAAATTCATCTAAGATAAACCCTAAGCTGTTTTAAAAAAAACTTACCTTTATTGTTTAAAATATTACAGATGTCCTGTTTTTCCCATTGACCCCTTCCACCCTGTACGCACTCCCCGCCCCAAGCCATCACCACACTATTGTCTGTATCCATGGGTTATGCATATATGCATATAAATTCTTTGGTTAATCTCTTCACACTCACCCACAACCCACCCACCCACCACCACCTTCCCTCTGAGATTCATCAGTCTGTTCCATGCTTCTATGTCACTGAATCTATTTTGTTCATCAGTTTATCATGTACTCTAGATTCCAGGTACAAATGAAATCATGTGATAATTGTCTTTCTCTGCCTGGCTTATTTCCCTTAGCATAATATTCTCCAGGTCCATCCATACTGTCCCAAAGGGTATGAGATCCATCATCTTTACAGCTGCATAGCATTCTGTGGTGTAAATGTCGCACACACAGCTTTTTTTACCCACTCATCTACTGATGTGCAATTGGGCTGTTTCCAGATCTTAGCTATTGTAAACTGTGCTGCTAGGAACATTGGGGTGCATATATTCTTTCTGGTTAGAGTTTCAGGATTCTTTATATTCTTAGAAGAGAGATCACTGGGTCAAAAGGCAGTTCTATTTTTAACTTTTTGAGGAAACTTCATACTGTTTTCCATAATGACTGCACCAGTCTGCATTCCCACCAGCAGTGTACCAGGGTTCCCCTTCCTTAACATCCTCACCAGCACGTGTTATTTGTTGAGTTGTTGATGGTAGCCAATCTGACAGGTGAAATGATACATCATTGTGGCTTTAATTTGCATCTCTCTGATCATTAGCAACATTGAGTATTTTTTCGATCATCTCTTGGCTACCAGTATGTCCTCTTTGGAGAAGTGTCTGTTTAAGTCCTTTGCCCATTTATAAATTGGATTATTTGTCTTCCTCTTGTTGAGTTGTATGGGTTCTTTGTACACTTTGGAAATTTACCCCTTATCAGATCTGTCCTTTGCAAATATGTTCTCCCATACCATCGGTTTCCTTTGTATTTTGAGGCTGATTTATTTGGCTGTGCAGAAGCTTTTTAGTTTGATGTAGTCCCATTTGTTTATTTTTCTTGTGTTTCTCTTGCCAAAGGAGGTGTATCAGTGAAAATTCCACTACATGAGATATCTGCGACATTACTGCCTATGTTTTCTTCCAGGATTTTTACAATTTCATGACTTACATTTAAGTCTCATTCATTTTTAATTTTTCTCATGTAAGGAGTAAGTTGGTGATCTAGTTTCTTCTTCTTTTTTTTTTTTTTTTTGGCATGTACCTGGCCAATTTTCCCAACACCATTTATTGAAGAGACTGTCTGTACACCAATGTCAAATATTAACTGACCAAAATGGTGTGGATCTATTTCTGGGGTCTCTGTTCTGTTCCAAATATCTATATATTTGTTGTTGTACCAATACCAGGCTATTTTGATTACAATGGCTTTGTAGTATACTTTGATGTCTGGTAAAGTGATCCCTCTAAATATTTCTGCTCTCTCAAGGTGGCTGTGGCTATTCAAGGTCTGTTTTGGTTCCATATAAATTTTTGGAATATTTTTCTAGTTCAGTGAAATAAGCCATTAGTATTTTAATAGGAATTGCATTCAATATATAGATTTTAATCATGTTAATTCCTCCAACCTATGAACATGGTATACTCTTCCATTTGTTTATGTCTTCCTCTATTTCTTTTTTCAGTGTCCTGTAGTTTTCCAGGTATAGATCTTTTACATCCTGGGTTAAGCTTATTCCTAGGTATCTTATTTTTTAGTTGCAATAGTAAATGATATTGTGTTTTTTTTTAGTTTCTCTTTCTGAGAGTTCCCTGAAGATGTACAAAAATGCCATTGATTTTCAGATGCTAATTATTATCCAGCTCCTGTGCTGAATTTATTTATCAAATCTAGTAGCACTTCGGTGGAGTCTTTAGGGTTTTCTATGGACAATATCATGTCATCTGCCAATAATGACATTTTTATTTTCTCCATTCCAATTTGGATACCTTTTATCTTTTCTTTCTGTCTGATGGCTGTGGCAAGGACTTCCAGTATTATGTTGAATAAGAGTGGCAAAAGCAGTCAGTCCTGTCTTGTTCTTGTTTTTAAGGAAAATGGTTTTAATTTTTGACCTTTGGCTATGATGTTGGCTGTAGGTTTGTCATATATGGCCTTTATTATGTTGAGGAATGTTCCCTGTATTCTCGCTTTCCTGAGAGTTTTTATAAAAAATTGGTGCTGGGTTATGTCAAAGGCTTTTTCTGCATCTATTGATTGATATGATATAATTTTTTACTTTCATTTTGTTTATGTGATGTACCAGCTTTGCATCTCCTGGATAGATTCCCTTTCGTCATAGTATATGATCCTTTGAATGTATTGCTTTGAACAATATCATGTCATCTGCAAATAATGACAGTTTGTTAGTATTTTGTTGAGGATTTTTGCATTTGTGTTCATCAGGGATACTGGCCTGTAATTTTCTTCCTTTTAATTTTCTTTACCTTGTTTTGAGATTAGGATGACGCTGGCCTACTAAAAGGAGCATGGGGGTTTTCCCTCCTCTTGAATTGTCTGGAATAGTTTGAGGAGGATAGATATTAACTCTTCTTTGAATGTTTGGTAAAACTTGCCTGTAAATCCATCTGGTCCAGGACTTTTGTTTGCTGGGAATTTTTTGATTACTGCTTCAATTTCATGAGTTATCAGCCTATTCAGGTTTTCTGCCTCTTCCTGATTCAGCTTTGGAAGATTGTATGCTTCTAAGTATTTGTCCATTTCACCCATGTTGTCCAGTTTGTTGGCATATAGTTGCTCATAATATTTTCTTACAGTCCTTTGTATTTCAGTTGGGTCAGTTGTTATATCACCTCTTTCATTTCTGATTTTATTTATTTGGGTCCTCTCTCTTTGTTTCTTGGTGAGTCTGGCTAAAGGTGCACCAATCATATTTATCTTTTCAAAGAACCAGCTCGTGGTTTCATTGATTATTTTTGTATTGTTTTTTTAGTATTTGTGTCATTAATTTCTGATCTGATCTTTATTATTCCTTTCCTTCTACTTCCTCAGGGATTTTCTTGCTGTTATCTTTTTTATTCTTTCAGTTGTTTTGTTAGATGATTTAGTAGAGCTTTTCCTTGTTTTTAGAGGTATGTCTGTAATGCTGTGAACTTTCATATGAGGACTGCTTTCACTGTGTTCCATAGATTTTGAGCTGTTTTCCATTCATTATTGTTTTACTCCAGGAAGTGTTTGATTTCTTCCTTGATCTCACTGGTAACCCATTAACCATTTAATAATATGTTATTTAGCCTCTACGAGCTGGAATATTTTTGAGTTTTTTTATAGTGGTTAATTTCTAGGTTCATGCCATTATGATCTGAGAAAATGCTTGATATCATTTCAGTCTTCTTGAACTTGTAGAGACTTGTTTTGTTCCCTAACAGGTGGTCTATTTTTGAGAATGTTCCATGTGCACTTTAAAAGAATGTGTG